GCAGCACTGGATGTGGAGAGCCTGGCCTTTCTGTCACTCCTCTTCCACAGTGCATCAAAGACCTGCACTAACTCCAGCAGGTCTGTGTTCAGATGAGTTCTTGGCTTTTTAAAACTCTCCTTGCTGAGCTCTGGTGGATTCCTCTTCCTCCTAGACTTTGAGATGGCTGGCTTCTCTTCTGACTTAACTCTGGTCATTGCCTGCTTTTGCTCTGCACTTTTCTTGGTGTTACTTTCCCTATGTCTTTTGGTCTTCTCCTGCCAAGGACCATTTGTTCTGCTAGACCTGCTGGAGGGAGGTTTCTGAGCTATGCCCGAGCTGTGTCCGGCTGTCTTCTCAGGTGGCCTATCGTCAGCCCCAGCACCACCTTCAGCGCCTTCTCCTTGTCCCAGGTATGCTGGGCCATGGTGCTGGATTTTTCCCCGAGGAGTTCCGTCAAGGAGGATGGGATCTTGGAACTGGTGCAGACCTGTAAAAGAGTTGAGCAGGTGGGGATGGTGAGTATCTGGCACGAGAGTAGTTTTTTCAGCAAAGACAGTGCTAGAGTCAACCCAATTTTCATGTGCCTCTTGGTTGTCCACACTCAGGCTGTTCTTTCCCATGCTGCTGTTGTACGATACGCGCCTCTGTTTTTGGCTGTCAGCATAAAAGCAGGACAGAGTCTGCTGAATGTTAAGGGTCACTAAAGGAAGGAGTGATGGGACTTGGTTTTCTTTCAAGATCCCATATGCTTCCAGAGGCTTTGAATGCTCAGCAGGCATTGGTTGGTAGTTTGTAGAGGTGCAGACAGGTGGTTGGACATCTGTGGGCTGAATCTCCTTTAGCACCATGACTGTCCCTGGTTGTTGGGCAGATTCCCTACTCCCTGTGTAGGACATGGAGCTGTAGGACTGCAGGCAGGGCTTGAGTTTTCCAGCTAGCAGAGGTCCCTGGGTGCTGTGATGGTATGCATCAAGCCGGCTGCCTTCCTGGTAGCAAAGTGACTTGCTGTGTCCTTGACCTGTATCCTGATATGCTGAGCCTCAAACAAGGCTGACAGACTGTGCTGGATACGGAGGGACTGTGGCATTCCTGTCTGAAACTTGATCACACAGGGCTGTTGCAGACATGGAAGGAACTGTCATGTCCTTGTCAGTGATTATCCCTGGGAATTCGTGGAGTGCAGCTGACCTGCAGTTGATGCTTCCTGTGAGATCCCACTGAAAGACACCTGGAAAGGAGACTGTCAACGTGGAGATCTGGCTCTGGTGGGGAAGCACAGACAGCATAGTGTTGCCAGCGTGTTGGAAAAGATAGGCACCAGCCATGAGGGCCTGCGTAGAGCTGCTGGAGGCTGAGGGCAGGAGCCATGCTGAGCTCACAGCTGAGTTTCAGACTGTGGGGAAGATGCACACACTTCCTGCTAATGCTGTGGCACTGCTCAGCACAGGACGGGAGAGCTGCAGGGCATCTGCTGTCCCAAGGACAACTGCATGTGCATTTTGGAAATTGTCTGGAGAAGGAAGACAATGAAAACATGGGTGAGATGGCACATTTGAGATTGTGTGAGGACAGTGGTATCTCAATGTTGTACAGAGAGGAAGAAGCTGGGACCAGTGTTCCCTAACATACTCTAAGTCTTTATTATTATTTTTAGTCAAATGTCCTACCTTCTGATAGTTAGGCATTAATGAAAGCCAGCACGACTTCATTAAAGAGAACCCTTAAATGTGAAGGAAATTTGGACTGTACCAAGTTTAAATTCACAGCAGTGTTTTTATTGCTCTGTTGTCATTAATGAAGAATTGTAAAAATTGTCAAAATTTTATATTTTTATGATTATTGGCAACAAAAACAATGGTGACCAAAAGAACTCCAAGTCCGTTCTAGATCCAAAGTAGATTATTTCTATCCAGACAGTATCACGTATCTGTGTTGCCAATACAGGGCATATTGCGGCAGAACTGTACTTAGTCTGAGATTAGCCTTGGCTACATAGTGAGGTTTAGAACACACTGAGCTGTAGTGCAACTCTCTGTTAACAAAAATTAAGAAAAAAAAATTCATCAGCCAGGGCAACATACTGAACACCTATCTCCAAAAACCAAAGGGAACACACACATACAAACTCACACACAGACACAGACACAGACACACACAGACACAGACACACATACAGACATACACATATTTTTTGAGGTAGAGTATTGGTAATGTGTCCAGGCCGGTTCCAAGCTGTAATCACCCCGTGTCATCCTCCCTCATAGCTGGCATTCAGAACCCGTGTCAGCCTCCATGGCTTGATTTTGAATGTAAGTGAGGCCATTCCATTCAGACCAAGAAGCTGTTAGTAGAAAGTGCAGAACAGACAGAAAAATGCAGTAATGTGGGAGCAGGAGTAGCCATGATGTGTTTGGACACTTATTTCCAGAAACTGGCATGATGTCAGGTGTTTCACAAAACTTGGAGTGCTGAGGCTGGAGGATTGAGTGACGGCAGCTGTATGAGACCATCTTGGGCCATATGGAGACCCTGTCCTCAGTTAATTAAGCAAAGACATCCCATACAAATACAGGAAGCACACTTGTTTACAGGAAGCTCCATGGAAACCCCAAGATTCTATCACGTGCTGGTGGTAGGTTTGGAGAGAGAATGATGTCATCAGTCTGGCAGCAGCCAGTAGGATGGCCCGATTCTGAGGCACATGATGGGATTGGTGGGCAGAATGCCAGCAGACCAACAGCAGCACTGAATGGCTGAAATTCGGGCAGTTGAATTTGGCAAGACCTACATGGCAGTCTCTCCTCCCTCGTCCCCTGCCCACCTGGCTCTGATGACTGGGATTAAAGGATGTAGCACTACATCCCACTATTCTAGTATCTTTATATTGATCCTTGAAACCTAGCTTATCATCATTTTCCACATTCTGGACATTTTCATCTTATCTCTGATCCTAAGAGTGGAATCAGAACACTATTTAAAAGTTTTCTTTTTTTCAGGTTAGTTTTGATGCCTCATGTTGAATTCGGCTGTTTGCTTGTGATCAGCGCCCATTCTTCCACTGAGGTTCCCCTATGCCCAGAGTTGCCCACAATGGACTGTAGGAACTGTGTCAGATAAATGTCTAAGTAGAGGGATGGGCCTTGAGTGGTTTCATTTTAAAAATTCTTTTTTGATTTATTTTCTTTTATGTTTACGCATGTTTTGCATTCATGTACGTAAGTGTTCCAGTGTCTTGCAATGCCTCTAGAGATGGTTTTTAGCTCCCAGTGTTTTTAACCAATGAACCATCTCTCCTGACCATATTTTTTATTTTTTTAAGGTAGGTCTTTTTTTATTCTTAGGCTTACAAACCCTGAATGAATACATATCCTCTGTCTTTTGAAAAAAGATTATTGTAAAATAAGAAAGCAACCTTCACTTGAAAGCCACTTAAAAGCAACCTCTGATACATGATAGGTTCTGATATTACTTACAAGTATTTTTTTTTTGTATTGAGAGAGTGCCTGTTCCGGCCTCCCTCTGGCATAGGGGCAAGAGAACTCCTGATGCTTGAGAGCACCTGATACTGCCCCCACCTGGTGGTGAGCTTCCCCAAATTGCCTGCAGCACCTCCCTACTGTAAGTACATGAGACAGCACCGAAGGTCCCTGGGTAGACCTCTGACCATTAGGTAGGATAAACCTGAGATCTCAGGACACCACCAGAGTGCCTATTCCGGCCGACCTCTGGCATATGGGCTTAGAACTCTGCGGATCACCCAAAATTGCGCCCTGCCAATAGGGAACTTACCAAATTTTGCCTGATTTCCCGGTACTAGAGGTCCAGACCTTCGAAGGAGACCTGAGTGTACCTCAGTGAATCCTGACTTAGGCTCCAGTGGGAGATCCTGAGTAGCTGATCAGAAGCCATCATATCCCTCCAAAATAAAATGGGTGAGCACCTGAAACCTCGACCAACCAGCTCTACACAACCAATAAGGAAAGGACCAAGGCACACCAATAATACAAACAGAAGGAAACGAAAACTTAATTTTCATATCAGAATCTCAAGCAACAAAAGAAATTCACATGGTAATAAATGGAAAGCGAGAACACTACATCCCCACCGAACCCCACCAGTCCTGTAGAAGAATTCTACAAGGAGAGAACCCCCCAGAAATAACCCAGGATACGGAATTTAAAAGAACAGTCATAATCATTGTCAAGGAATTCCACGAATTTAAATAGCATAGAAACAAAAAAATCAAAAAACTCAAAGAAGATAGGGATGAACTTCTGAATATTCGAATTCACAAAGGTATAGAAGTATTGAAGAAAACTCAGGCAGAAATGATGAAGGAAGTGAGAACTTCAATAAGTCAACTTGAAACAACAGGGGAGAGCCTGGCCGAATGAATGAAATGCAAAACAGAAAAACAGCACTGGAGGATAAAGTTGAAGAATTGGATCACTCAAGTAAAGATTATGAAAAATTAAAGAAAAAAACAGGGATGGAATATGCAAGAGATGTGAAAAACCATGAAAAGACCAAATCTACATATAATATTCATGGAGGAAAGTGAAGAACTTCAGTTTAATGGTACTGACCAGATCTTAATCAGGATCATAGAAGAGTATTTCCTCAAATTAAGCAAAGACATCCCATACAAATACAGGAAGCACACCGAACGCCACATAGAGAGGACCAGAAAAGAAACTCCCCACGGCATATCACAGTAAAATCCCTAAATGTACCCAACAAAATGAGAATACTGAAAGCAGCAAAAGAAAAACAAGTCACTAAAGGAAAGCCCACCAGAATTACAGCTGACGTATCAGTGCAAACTATGAAAGCCGGAAGCGCCTGGACCAAGGTGTTTCCAGTTCGAAATGACAATAGATGCCAGCCCAGCGTAGTCTACCCAGCAAAACTTTCTATTACAGTTGAGGGGGAAAGAAAAATCTCCCATGACATGAATAGCCTGAAAGAATACATGTCCCCAAAACCAGGCCTTGAAAGAATACTTGAAGCAATACAAAGGAGAGAAAAAGAAGCAAGTATACCCCAGGGACAATGAAAGAAAATAAAAGTATAATTGAAGAAACACAAAGTCAGACAAAGAACACAAACAGCAAACAAAATGATGGCAACCAATACACCTCTTTCAATAATAACTTTAAATGTCAGTGGACTGAACTCTCCAGTCAAAAGACACGGGTTAAGTGAATGGATTAAGAAACAAAATCCATCCTTTTGTTGTCTGCGAGAAACCCATCTCACCTTAAGGTGAATGGATGGAAAAGAATATTCCCAGCAAATGGCACTAAGGAACAAGCAGGGGTTGCAATTCTAATATCTGATGAAATCGAATTCAAACTAACACTAATCAGAAGAGATAAGAAGGGTCACTTCATTCAGATCAAACAATTAACCATGAAGATATCACAATCCTGAACACATATGCACCAAATTTTGGTAGACCCAAATTCATAAAAACAAAAATACAGTACTTTAAGACACAGGTTAACTCAACTCTATAAGAATATGGGACTTTAATGTCCCACTGCCGCATTAGACTGGTCAGTTGGACAAAGAATAAACAGAGAGACATCTAAATTAAACGATCCATACATCAAGTAGATCTAACAGACATCTTTCGAATATTCCAGCAAAGCACCGAAGAATACACCTTCTCCTCAGCAAATATGGAACGTTTGCAAATGTTGACCACGTAGTGGGGCACAAAACAAACCTCCACAAATATAAAAATATTGAAATAATTCCAAGCATTTTATCAGACCACAGTGCAGTAAAGCTCAAAATCAATCCTGGAAGAAGTCCTCGTCACTACACAAACTCTTGGCAATTCAACAACACACTCCTAAACAATGTGTGTGTAGGTCAAATGAGGAATTAAGAAAGACAGAAAAGAATTCTTGGAATAGAAGAAAAAAGGACAATACAACACAGCACAACTTGTGGGACACTTTAACAGGAGTCCTAAGAAGTTTATATCTCTAAGTGTGTACATTAAAAACTAAGGAAGAGCCCAAATAAATGACCTAACACTGCAACTCAAGATGCTGGGTAGCCAAGAAGAAATGAAACTGAAACCCAGGAAAAGAGAAGAAATAGCAAAAATCAAAGCAG